TATAGACTGCAGCAAGAACTAAATCAGACAGTTTAGATTGGATGCCTACTTTTTTTGGTGGCTGAATTTAGAAAAGGGATACCTTACTCTGCGGATGACATCTAAGAAAGAAAATTTAGGTACCTATAGTTACTACAAGCTAAATTTTGGGGACCCTGTTCCTTGTAGTAGGTGCCTGGGCTCCCTGCGCAGAGCACGGGGGAGAGTTAGGTACCTCTGAAAAACCTGTGCGCTGAGATCAGGACTGCCTGGAGCATGCGAGAGAGAAGCCCTGTGCTCAGCGAGGTGACACAGCTCACCTGCAACCTGCTCCCTTTCTGGGATCTTGGAGCCTGTGACATCCACATGACACTTTCTATCTGACAATGTGTAGGAAATCAGGTGGTTTCAGAGCAATTAGAACTTGTTGAACTAGTGCCTATTGACTGAGATTTGTATGTTTTTCAAGTCCTGTGGGAGGTAGAGGGCTACAGCATATGACCCTTAAATGCCTCTGGAAGAGAAAAAAGTAGCTAGGCACTATACCCTACTGCTTCAAGCTTTCAGATAGGTGATTTTAGGATGTGGGATTTTTTTGTATGTAAATCTGCCTGTGCATTTCAGACAACAGTCACTGGATAGAAAAAGAAGTATTTTGAAAGACAACCTAGAATTCTTTTCTTCCCAACTGAATAGATGATCTTAACTGCAGAGTCTCTGTTGCTCAAGGTTCCATTTAAAGTCTACTGAGACGCTTGTATTTTGGTGAACGTACAAGGAAATGGAAGGGGTGAAAAGTTCATCTCCCATTTTAGCATGCAGACACACAGGTGAAGAAGCATCAGGAGCTGCGGGTGCAGCCTAGATTTTGGGTTCTGCTGCATGCATTTTAAAAATAAATCGTTTGGTCATTGAACATGAAGACTGCTGTATTCCTTGAGAATAAAGCAAAGGGGCTGTCTCCAAAGTAATCCCTTGAGTTACACCAGGAAATGGCCAGACTCTGTGCTTTTATGTAGGAACTCTGGCAAAACCCCCATGTAGCTGTAGGAAGAAGAGAAGTGTAATGGTTTAAATTAAGTGTTATAAATATAGCTGGTGGATTTGCTTTATTTAGATTTTCCTCTAAGTTTAATAAACAACTTTAAAGCATTCAGTAAGACCCAGAAAATATGCAAGAGAAGTACAGCTAATCCTGTTAAATGTAAAATAGCATCTAAGTGGAAAGTTTTTATTGTTAAATTCCTGAGAGATGTTTAAGGAAGCTTTGGAAACTAGGTGGTAAGTGACATTTATCCTTGATCTGAAATGCCTAAACATGCAACATCATTAATACAGCTGAACTGTGACCTTCCATCCTGCCAATACGGATAAACACACATGTTATCGGGTAAACCTCACACAAGGCAAATTTCCCGAGACTGTCGAAGCCCCACTCATAGGAAGTGGTGGCTATTCACTCATTAAGTTCTGCCTGTCTCTGGCTTTTTTTATGTGAGCTCTCCACACAGCTGCAAGGATAATTAGTTTCCTTTGGCTTAGTGAGTATTAAGGAGTATTAAAATGCGTAGTTTATATGGACAACAAACATATTCAGGGGCTGGGAAAAAAACACACAGAAATGCAAGAAAACCCCTTTAGTCTTTAGCTTGACAGAATCCTGATTCCAGGGTAGATATGATGGGTTGGTTGTGATTGGACACATTATGTCAGATGGCTTTGTGATAAATGTTACTGACTTCATCTGGTGAGTGGATTTGTCTAGGCAGAACCAGATTAAAGGGTCAGTATCCTGTTCTGAATTAGATTTCAGCAATGCAGACGTATATGTGCACCCTGTTAGACTGGCAAGAGTTTTCATGCAAGGAAAAAGAGATGCTGTACCTTAAGGATACCCTCTATTCTTGCACGGTACTGTATTTGTGTGGTAAAATGGATAATACAAAGTCACTGTCATTGTCTCATGTCCTGTCTTCAGTCTCATATGGTCACGTCAAAATGGCACGACCACACACCATGTAATTTCAGGTGTGCTGTGGTGGCACTGCGATCCATAGAGTGTTGTAACCCTGTGCACTTCCAAAGCAGTTTTGGGACTATTGACTGCTACAGGACTCTCCCCAACCAGAGCAAGAATGGTTCAAAAATGATTTGAGGTCACCTTTAGCTGTTTTTTTCCTGCCAGGAACAGGAAAAGAGCATTGGGTCCCAGCCAATGTTGTTTGGAATTAATGTTGCATGGGCTTGTTGGGAAGGAGAAAGGATTTATTTGTCAAATACGGCTTAATTTACTATGTACAAATGAAAGCTCACGTTTTTGTATTGCTGGAGAAAGAGAATTGATTAATAATTTGGAAAAAGGCCAAGAGACACAACATTCACCTTTGTAATTTATCTTCTCAAAGAAACAAAAGCAATATGAAATGTACCTGATCAAAATATTTTATTAAGCAGAAATGAAAGCTGGTTCATATTAATGCATTTAGTATGAAAGGGCTTGCTAGGACATTGCTATTACCAACAACAAACCTGTAAAAAATCTGAAGCTGATAGTTAAGACCGTAGGAAATTTCCAGAAAAGCTACAACTGATGAAATAGAGGAACTTCCACATTAATAATAACTTAAAAAAAGATATTTGAGACTAGGGAGGTTAAGGTCACTAAAACAACTTCAGCAGTTCCTGGAAAGAACATAAACTCAAAGTCAAAACTTCTTCATCATTAAATACAGTCTTAGGGGAAAAAGAAGTATACAGGCTTTTCTAATTCTTGATTAAGCATCACATTGTAAAAGCAGTCATATCACATCCTTTACCTATTACACAGATGGTCTCAGAGACAGTTCTGATGTGTCATGTATACACATTTCTTTGGCTCTGTAACATAGACGTACTGCATAAGTATGGAAAAGCTTAAAAGGAATCATGCTTTCCAGTGGTGGTTGTTTTGCTGCCAGGCAAGAGAAAGCTTGTCAAGCAGCAAAATGTGTTCTTTAGCTTTTGAACCAGGAAAGCCTTATGTCTGCATGCATGACATACATTTTATTTCATAAAATAGAAAATTGTACGAACAACATTACAGAAGATGAAGAATCATGAAAGAATAAGATGTACAGGAGATGCTGTTCATTTCGGGAAATGGCTGCTAAAGCAAATACAATATTCTTCATTACTACTACAGGGATACAGAGCAGTCAGTAGCTGAGGTTTACTGAACAGCATCTTCTGGTCTGGCAAAACGTTGGAGATCTTCCTCTAGATTGTCTACTTTGTTTCCTCTTTTTGCCCTCTTTCACCAATGGGACACTTAGGACTTTTGTTTCTTCTCCCCCTTTCTGTGCCCTTGCCTCCTCTTCCAAGGGATATGGAGTCCCTGTCAGCTGGTTTTCCAACCCTTCCTTGTAGCAATGCAGATCCCACCTCCTTCTTTCCCTGAACATCTTTACCTGTTCAGCTCTGATGCAGAATACAATGTTGAGACTTAATCAGATCAGTGTATTGGCATTGCAAGAATTCATGTGTGGCTAGGAGTGTTACAAGTGTGACAGGTCCTATGTTTGTGATACTGCACTTTCAGAGTGTAGATAAGAATGTCTTCATCAGATTTGAGGGCTTTAGCATCAATGCATAAGTGTTGAGCTTTCTCCTGGTCACAATCCCTTAAACACTTAAAAAGATAGACTAAAATGAATATACTCTTCCTATTAAAAATTGGGAGTTATGTAAATTACAATGAATTTTCAAAGTTTAAGAAAAAAGAAAACAGCCAGGTTTTAAGACTTTCTCTCATAGAGGAACCTGATTTGTGTTGCATTTCATTACGCTAGAAAATTGTCCTTGTCAGGACAACATACATAAACATTTCAATCTGATGTTGACCAATCTTGGTAAAATCATGGAAATAAAATTTAAAACTTGCTTCATACTGCAAGCCTGAAGCTGACAACAGAACTTCACTTTATATTTGCCTATATAAAATATTGTGATCTACCATTCTACCATATCAATTCAAAGAACCAAGAGTTAGTCAGCAGTCTGGTGTTTTTCATCCTTTATGTTGTGATGTTGCAATAGGAAAACAGAAACATAATAGTGAGGACTTTCCCGATTTGAGAACTCACTGCAGTGTTATTTACTTGTGAACCATTCTTGACAGCTTACCACAAACTTGGCACCAGCCTTTTCCAATTTCCCATTTTGCTTAGAAGTTCATAGTTTAGAAAAACTTTACAAGAGTTCTCTTACAAAAGTCACCCTATTTCCTGGCAAAAGGGAACAGGTTGTTAGAGCCTCGCTTTGAAGAAGATTATGAGTATTTCTGAGGTCAGATTCTGCACCCTGATTGAAGGAGTCCTGTGGTATCTCTACCCAGGCAATTCATTTCACCCCTGTTTTTGCTCTAGGGCTGTGTCTGCTGATCAGTCACGTTGCATGCATACATACATACATACACACATACATACTTAAATCTAGTTGGCTCTCAGATTCCTCTCTGGGATGCATCAACTCATTCCCTCCATGAGAAATCCTGGACACAGCTGACAGGATGGTTTGCTAAGATATTCAGCATGGATGTGCATACTGCCAAGGCTGATTCCCCCTGCCCTGGACACTCCTCTAACCCTATCCCAAAAGACTTGGCACCCTCAAACATACCCTTGTGCCATGCAATACACATGCTTGTGTTATACGCTATAAAACACTACAGTGGGCTGCATCACAGCGATCTCTTATTCTAAGCACTTCAAATTCAAAAGAAATATAGAGAACAATTGTATTTCAAGGCACAACATGGGATCCAGAGCATGTTGGGCCCAGCAGTATGTGGAGTGACTCGGTGCATACTAGCATTGAGCACCCCGGACAAGAACCAGTCGATAACACCCAGATGAGCAACCAGGCAACCAAGAGTCAGTGGAGAGCCAGGCTAAAGCCATAGCTTTCAAATAGGAAGTTGATATTCACTGAGTGTTTGTATTTAATGATGCTTTAAGCTTTTCTTGCTGTTTTGACTTTTTCAGAACCTGAGGCGGGAGAGGTGTCCCCCCCAGTGGGAGCTGGTGTGAACAGCAACAGCTGGACCTTTAAATTTGGACCGGGCAATCCCAAACAAGGTGGTCCTGGTGAGTTGCCAGACAAATTCATTATCCCAGGATCTCCTGCAATCATCTCCATCCGGCAGGAGCCACCAAACAGCCAAATTGACAAAAGTGACTTCATAACCTTTGGCAAGAAGGAAGAGACCAAGAAAAAGAAGAAAAAGAAGAAGGGAAACAAGACTCAGGAGAAAAAAGAAAAGGGCAACAGCACCACTGAGAACAGTGACCAGTGAGGGGTTTATACTGAAAGAACCCACTTAGCCAGTTTTTGTAATAATGGCAGATTTCTCCTATGTAGCAACTCCCAACTTCTTCCTACTGTTAACAAATTTCCTGTATGTACAGACTTGAGAAAATGAGCAGGAAATTCACAGTGTCTGTCTAAATTGCTTAACAGGTTTTGTCTTAAAAGCTTTATTAAGTCTGGTGTTAACTCTTTTTCTCCACTCTGGCTTGTTTTCAGAATCTAAAAAGCAGACACAAGTTTCCTTTCTCCTACGCCGAAAAGGAGAATCTTCACAGTACAGCCAGTGAGAGGTTGGACTCTCTACACTGTGGTTCCTGTGCTCCTGTCTTGATGACACTTACAGGACAGGTTTAAAAGTTTTAATGTTGTGCACCCTCTATCTGATTGGAAATATTTGTGTGCAGATGTCAGCTAGGTGATACGAGATCAGATTATAAAATGCAAGAAGAGCTGGTAAATATGCAACAGAGGAAACACCTAATGAACACAAGTGTTCAAAGATATTCAGGCTGGGGAGGAAATGTCTGAAAGGAGATGACCAGACTTTTCAAATCTTGAGAAGTCACTGTGTGGGAATACTGAGTCCTATACATGACGTATTGTACACACTCCTGCAAATAAAACCTCACATTTACAGCTCTTTAAGATACCATAAATTTTATCTCTTACCAAGCAAGCCATTGGGAAAATTGTCCCTTAAAGCCCTGCATTACCCTGGCAAGGCTAGCCCTCAGAGTGCAAGAAGGGCTGGGCTGACATCCCAGGAATGTAACTGACTGTGATGCTCTGTGTCCCTATTTCCACTCTAACATTATTTTGCACATTATGTCTCTGAAAAGGTCAGAGTTTTTCCACGACACTTATGCAAAAGAGAGAAAAAAGAAACGTTAACTGTGCTATTTGTTATTTGAGATATTTATTTATAAAGAAATATAGCTGTAAATGTTAAAGAAATATGATGCCCTTTAACCCAAACAGAAGTCAATCTAGAGCCATTATAAATTACAATTGCTGCTATTAAAGTGCTTTAGAAAAATTGCCTGAAACATCTGTATTATATCGGCCACTTGCCAATAACAGCTTTATTCTGTCGGGTGACTTGGGGGCTGCCTCTTGCATGTATTAATAACTACAAGAATATCTTTTCTTTTTTTTTTTGCATTAATCTGCACTTTGAATACACCTTTGCAAACAAACTGTCCTAATGTGAAAAAGCAGAAGCAAACTCCTCCTCACACAAATGGATTTACTGACCTGCTAGCTCTGTGCAGTACCTTGGTGTTACCTCCCACACAACCTTTTCTGATTTTAGTTTTACTTTTCTATGAGATTATGAATTTCTGACCCTATTAACACTCCTTATGTAAAATTCAAGTACTGTATGTATGCTGTATGCTCTTATAAGAATCCTAAAATATTTATTCTGTGCTTGTGTATGTGAATGTCAATGCAACTATTATTAGAGTGGACTTTAAGCTTTACTGTTGAATGTAAATCCATTATTTCTTTTTTGTACACTTGTGAAAAAGTGGAGTAGTGTTAATTTTTTAAGCCACTGTTGATTATCAGTTTTTTGTGTATGAAACACAAGTAAAATATCTTTCTTAAATCAAGCTATGCATGCATTTTGGGATTTATTGGTAAGAGTCTGTGAAGCTAAAGCTCTGTGAATTACTAAACCTAAGGGTATAAATGGAGTACTGAATGTGGTTGGCAATGTTGCTATAAAACCAATACATGTATTTTTAAATAGAGTATAGCTGATGAGGGAATTCCAAGGAGTTTTCTACATTATTGTACATTCACAGAGTAAAGCTCAAGTGTCATATTAATTGGAACTGTGCAAGAAACTACATAGCTCTAAAATTTCTAACAGGCCCTTTAATCTAGGATCAAAGAGAACAACTGGATTTCTTGAGACATGTCTTGGATGTTTTAAGTTTCCAAACTGCTGACGGTTCAGAATAGGACAATTCCTATTCATTTTTAAGAACCTGCAGCAAGTCTTAAAACATCACAGAAGGTAAAGCTCTAATAAAAGAATTCATATCTCAAAGGATGAACCACCAATGGCCTTATGTGCTCTATTTAGAGTTTTCTTTTGCTACCAGTCTTGTTTTTCTGGCAATGGAAAAGATGCTACTTGAGAAAGAGAATCCTTGACTCAGTTTTAAAGACTATCCAAGAGAAAAAAACCTTAAGATTTGGGGAGGGAGCTGTTCTTTTATGCAACTGTGCTATGCAAGTAGATTTAGACTTATTTTTTTATTTGATGACTAATCCAACAGTTCCCAAAATGTTCATAAACCGGAGTTGCAGTGGTAACTTAAACACAGAGAAGGATATTGTTGTTTTGTGCTCATCATAAAGTAGTTCTCCTCAATGCCTCTGGCAAAAATCCCGCATAAAGTTTTAATTCTTACAGGAATCTTTAACATTTGATTATTTTTAGATTTTAATTGAATTTTTTTTTTTCTTTTGAGTGCTTGCATTTTCCTCTATACAGGCCAATCTGATTTATTTATTTTTCATCAGTGGTCATAGACAGCTGGTTTTCCAAGGCTTGCTTCTGTCAGAATGAAGCAAGAGCTGCAGTATGTCTCTGATTTGCCTGTTTTAACACAAAATTACATTTGCCAATGCTGGCTTTGTTGCAGGTGCTTACTGCAGGAGGCCTGTACACTTGCATGACTTGGTAGACAAAACAGAATATCTGAAGATAAGCATTCCAGTGTGGAGGTCTGATAGAACAGAGACAAAACTCTCAGAGGAGAGGAGATGCTCTTGCTGGAATTGCTTAAAAAGAGGCTGGATTGCACCAGTAGAATATACATTACACAGATTCACTGTGTTTTCAGAAGACTGAATCGGGCACCTCACCAGATTTTAAAAATATTTTTCCATATTTGAACCCTCTAGTACAACTGGAATGCTGAAATGTCTTAAGTGAAATTTGGCCATTTCAATACTAGTATACAAATTACACCATTGACATCCTTGATTTTGGATGTCCAGAAGGAGAAGAAACCCTTGGCATGAAGTATTTTTGGAGAACCGGGGTGAGGTGGGGCGGGGGGAGAATTTGCACATTCTGCTGCAGTTTTGAGTTACTGTTTAAATACCACACAATAATGGGAATTGAGGATCAGAGGTGGTGGCCAAGACAAACAAGAATCAAGAATCAAAAGTTTCTTTATCCTCTTGCTGACAATGAAGTAAGGCAGACAAAACACATTACAGAATTTGTTAACAAGGAAATTACAGTTTTGTAATTACAGGGGCTTTTTAGCACTTGAATAATTTATTCCTCTCAGAATCCATATATTTTCTGTGAGCATATTGTCTTTGGAAGTCTGGTTTTTATGCATACAAGATCAGTGGCCAAAACCGTTGGGCTTTTATAACAATTAAGCCTGAGTTATGTTGTATGTTAATTACATCCTATTAAAAAGATATCTCATTTTACATTAGGTTTCTAAGACTTAGCTTTGTGCAGTTTCTTTCTGCTCAGTATTTGGGTCATTGCACACCACAGGGAGGGGATCCAATTAAAGTTTTCCAATGATCTTATGTAAGGGGAAGAACATAGAACCCAAAATGCATTTCCCAAATTTCATATATGAAAATTCATTATGGAATTAATTGCAGCCAGCTTTGGTATCTTTTAGGATCATCTTTCATTTCCCCTTCTTCTTCACTCATTTGATGTGTTTCAAGAACCGCTTCCATTTTTGGAAAAAGCCATTACACTGTTAATTGACTTTATTCCCAGGAGAAATGTGAGTAAGTTACCTTTATAGAACAGTGCTTATTAGTACATGATACAGTGACTACAATTTCTATAGGATACATAATTCACGTTGGCTGGTCAAAAACTTAGACCTGCCCACTCTGGGGCTTAAGAGTCTCAAGGTTCCAATAAATACCATTTTGTCCAGGAAACTTAGCTCCCTATCTATATGTAACATATTTAGGCACAAAATGAGTCCATGATTCTTCCTGCTTCATGCCACCAAACACTTCAGTTAGAGTTTTCTGTATTTCTAAAAACACCTGTTCTCAAACTGTAATTACAGTCTTAAAATGTAAAGTCAATTACTGCCTTTCTTTTACACAGTTGGCCTCACTTATTTTAATCCAGGTTATAGCCAAGTTTGTGTCAACAGCCGGCTAAAATAAACTGTGTACAATCTTCCTTCCTTATCCTATTCTCCCCTAGCAGCAGTTTTGTGGATCTCACGTAAGACAAGTATTAAGGAAGGAGCTGAGCCGTTATCCTCATTTGAGTCTTAAAGAATGAGTAGGTTTTGCTGTTATTTTATTATTTGGAAACTACTGGCTGTTCCTTGACACAGACACTTTTTTAAGACAGTGCCAAGAGTCCCATGTTCTGTTAAGGCTCCTGTAAATATGCAGAAATACCACTTTGATCAAAAGTTTGGCTTTGGTGAGTAAGTGTACACTGAAGTCCTTTGGTTTCTTCCTTCACATGACTCTGAAGGAGAAATGAATGAACAGCTGAACAATGTTTTGACATCATCACACAGAGTTTAATCTGCATGAAGCAAATGTATGCCCTGGAAAGTATAGGACAGGCTGAGGACTCCAAGCAATGCAATAATAACTTGTGTATATGAAGGGCTTGATATGGTGGCTGGTATATATTAGGCCCTGCAGGGTGCTCATGCATGCCTGAGTTGGTGGCTTTGCACAGTACTCACACAATTGGACATACCAAGAGTGCATAGAAAAGCTGTAATGAAATAAATGCTTTACACATTTTAGTGACCTTGTGCAGCTTAAATCAGCATACTACAAAATCAATATTGGTAGCATATAAATTAATTTTCCATTAGCTCTTGGTATGGGGATGCTGTACTCTCTGCTCTCCTGAGTTCTTTCTCCTTTCTATTGCCTCCATCCCTCACTAGAGGATCCAGTGATACTGCTCTGCAGTATCTGCAGAGTGTGTGTGTATACATGTATGCAAGCATTTATGTAGATATGTATAAAAATCTGGGACCTGATTATGTTGTTATACAGAATACTGCAAAACCTACCATCAGTGTTTATACAGAATACTGCAACACCTATTGTCAGTAAGCCTAGATAAACACCTACCTAGGCTTAGGTAAAGCCTATTATGCAAATCTATCTGGTTTTTCAAGGTGATGCTATTATGGTGACATTATGCACCTACTTGTGGAATGTGTTGTTCAGGTGCCTTTGGCTGGCTTAGAGAACTAATGAAAGGAATTCTTCAGCATGAAGTACCACAGAATTACTTCTGCCACATGATGAGAAGGGCGTATCTTACACTGCACTGCGGTTTCCCTTTCATATCCCAGGACTGCCTCCATGCAATTACTCTGACACAGGTTTTAACATCAAAAGATGACAGAGATGTAGTGAAGTAAACATCTCTCACAAGCCACGCAGCTTGGCAAATATTAAAAATGTTTGCCTGCCAGTGGTGCCCAGAGCTATGTAACTGTTGTCTGAACAGAGACAGCAAGTAACTCATCCATGTTTAAGAACTGATGTCTGGAGCATATTACAAAACAAACATGCTAGGCTTGAAAACCAGATTTCAAAACCAGGACCCTGACAAAGAGTCGGAGGTATTAAGCTGGCCTTCATACCAAGTAGAGCAGCCATAAGTCTGTTGTCACTCCAACCACTCAACTCACTTGTCCCTCAACATAATGAGCTCCATTGGAGGGGGAGGAGTGGGGCATGTCATGAAGAGATAAACCCATGTATGCTGTCAGGTGGGAAATGTTATGCTACAGGCATACCATTTCAATAAGGCACATAGATTGGGTGTTGGGCACTCCTATGGGGCTTTGTGTTAGGTGAGGGGCGAAAGTCCACGTTACCAGTGTGCCATTCCAGCAAGAGACCCTGAAGGGCTGCCCTATGGACTCAGCAGTGGGTATTGCATCAGTGCTGGGGCATTATGTCTGATTTCAGGCTTCAGCACTGAGATGGGGTAACATTAGAGCTGGCCCTGGCAGCCCTGTTCCAGCTCCTTCGGTGATACTTTACAGAAGGTTCAAGTGTCTTGGCACCCCTTGAACAGCACTGAGGAGAATTAGACAGTCCTTGCCCATTAATTACAGGAATGGCGCCACACAAGAAGCCTGACAAGACGTAATAGTTATTATAACACATCAGTCACAGCCACCCTAGGCTTTTAATCCTGCAATAGTATTCCTGTTAGATAAATCCTTCAGCTTTTCTAGGACTTAAATTCCACTCAGTGCTGCCTCAGTGGGAAAAATATGTGTAATTGTGAGGAAAATGTTTGTAGGTGTAATCCTATGTCCTACCTTAGCCCCCAGTGTATCATAGCCCTCCTTTAGGAAGCCATGAGTCATTCTCTACCTTGAAGAACTTCTTCCATCAGTGTTTAAGGAATCCTACCTGAAGTCTCTCTACTTGTGAAACGGTGTGCTAAGTGGTTACAAATCAAATCAATTCTGTAAACTAGGGCTTGTGACTTTTCACACATCACCACTCCCCACCCCAGATTATGTACACTGTCAAAGCCGATACTGACTGTTGTCTACCTTCCTCTTCATCACCTATGGTGCAAACAGCCTTAGG